CACACACACACACACACAATAGTATCTTAGTAGCTTTCTATATTCAGGAAGTAAATGGATTAAGCAACACTGAATTTTTTCTAGTCAGAAATTTCAGAAAGTTTACATGCTAATGTAAACTCTGCAACTTCAAGAAGGTAATGAGTTCTCAATGCTTTCCAAAATTCTTTGACCTTTTATTCTGTGGTAGGAATAACATTAACATCTAAAAATAGTAGTCTGTGTAGCACAGTCTGATAAATACTTTTCTTTAGCAATGTTTCATATTTATTGTTACAAAATGTAAAACAAGGACTATGTTCAGAGGAGAAATATATTATGATTAACTCAATTTTGTGTGTACTTAGAAAAAAGAAATCTGCAATAAATTTTCAAAAATACTATTAATGGGTCTAGCTTTGCTGGTTGTATTTCTTTGGCTTCTACAAAACTAAACTCTGTCAGACAATTAAAATTCCTCCTTGAGATGGCGAAATGTTATCTTTCCAGCATGATTAACGATATAATCAAGGTTTTATAAAATCTACATCAAGTAATTGAATTTGAGATTTTAAATGTATATAGTTTTCTGGGATTTCAATGATTAAAATGCCTGCAAATTAAATCTTTTTTTTTTTTTAGTGAAAAACCAAAATAAACAGAGTTTTGCCATCAATACTAATTTTACCTATTATATAATTATATATATATAATATGTCTGTTAATAATTTTACAACATAATGATGACTATGCATTCACAAACGCAGGTAAAGCACATTATATGCAGGGGGAATAGACTAGACTCAAGAGAAACTCTCTAGGATGCACGCAATATTACATTGAATTTTTGACTGCAATGAAGTTTCCATGAAGGAGAATAGTGACAAGTGAGTTTTTTAAGGAGAAAAAGAAGAGTCAGACACACTGACAGAAATGAAGGTATTTTACAAGTGATTTCATGTAGAGGTTTTTGAGAAAGATGGACAAGTCAAAGATATTCTGAATTTTCAGCCTTAGGAAATGGAACAACCATGTCACCAAGAGAAGTAGGGAGCATAAAGTCAAGAGTTGACTCAGGAAGTTTACACAGAGTTGGCTATTTATGCTTAAACATTTCAACAGATGTTTTCCCTGTTACTTGCTTATTAAGTATTTCACCACTCACACAAATCCAACATGGGAGAAGGAAAGACTTTTCATGTAATTCGGATATGCTGCTGGTAAATGTGTGCATGTGTGTGTGCTTAATCACCAACTCTCTGCGACCCCATGGACTGTAGCCCGCCAGGCCCCTCTGTCCATGGGGATTCTCCAGGAAAGAATACTGGAGTGGATTACAAGCCCTCCTCCAGGGGATCTTCCCGACCCAGGGATCAAACCCAGGTCTCCCACGTTGCTGGCAGATTCTTCACTGTCTGAGCCACCCAGGAAGCCCGAAATGAGCTTCAGAGTCAAGGCAGCTAACGCAAGCTGCTGCCACAGGTAACAGCAATGTTTGGCAGCTTAACGCAGTGATGATTATTGCTTGCTTGTGTCAAGGTTCAGCGCAGCTGGTGGGCCAGGGCATGGAGGGAGTTGGAGATGTGAGTTGTGTTCTGTGCAGTCATTCAGAGACTAGGGTCCTTCATGATATGGTTCTAACATCTGTACCATGAGGCTTCAAAGAGTCTTCATTCTAGAGTCATCCACGAGGAGATCAGAGGGAAAACGTGTAGAATCTTACAAAGGAAACAACAACACTCTCACTTTTACCCACATTCCATTAGTTAGGATCCGGCCCCACCCAATTTCAGCGATAGATGAAAGATGATCATTTAACTCGGTGCTCAGGAATCATACTCAATGTTGCCTCTGTCACCAAAGGGAAAAAAGATAAAGCCCTTACCTAAGTCACTGAAGACTTCAACTATGAAGTAAGTATTTTTTATTGTCCCTTATTATCAATAGTCACAAACTCTACAGAGATAAAACCAAAAGTAGTCATGGCAAGAAAAAATGCTATATAAAATTTCATAATTTGGAGTTTAAATTTGAAAAATAACTTCCTCACAATCTTTCAAAACATTCAGAAATTCTGATGTATAACTAGCATTCACTCATCTTGGCTTGAATAAATTAAGTTACCAAGGAATGTGTGAGTTATATTTAGAAGCCTTCAATTAATGAAGTAGGTTTGTTGTTTAGTCACAAAGTTGTGCCTAACTCTTTTGCAACCCCGTGGGTTGTAGCCCTCCAGGCTCCTCTGTCCATGTGATTTCCCAGGGAAGAACACTGGATCAGGTTGCCATTTCCTCCTCCAGGGGATCTTCCCGACCCGGGAATCGAACCCACATCTCCTGCATTGGCAGGCAGATTCCTTACCATCTGAACCACCTGAGAAGCCCCAAGATGGGACACAGAGAAAGCCCAAGGTTACTTCTTCCTCTGTTTTATTGAGATTGGACCTACAGCTATTGCCTAAACTCCACACCAAAAATAACGCTGAGTTCTTGTTATCACTCTTGTAGTTAGGATTGATTTCCAGGAGGACAAAGAGGTGACAGAGCAGACAAGGAAAATATCAGAAGACACGGGCCGCCTGTCCCGTCCAGGCTCACGCTTGCCTGTTACGTCTGGAATGCAGAGTTGTTCGGCCGCCTGTCCCGTCCAGGCTCACGCTTGCCTGTTACGTCTGGAATGCAGAGTGGTTTGGTGGCACCTGAGCCTTTGCAACCCCATGGACTCTTCCATGCACCAGGCTCCTCTGTCCGTGGGATTTCCCAGGCAAGGATACTGGAGTGGGTTGCCATTTCCTTCTCCAGGGGATCTTCCTGACTCAGGGATTGAACGTGTGTCTCCTGCACTGGCAGGCAGATTCTTTGCCCCTGAGCACCTGGGAAGCTCCAATGAAGTAGATAGACTGTCTTCAAAAAAAAAAAAAAAACTGAATTCCAGATTCTCCACATCTTAACCAACACTTACTATCTTTTCTTTTTTAGATAACAGCCATCCTGACAGGTGTGAGGTGATACTTCATCGCAGTTTTAATCTGCGTTTCCCTGATGATGAGTTTTGCTGAACACCTTTTCTTATATCTGGTGGTGATTTCTAGGTCTTCTTGGGAGACATGTCTGTTCAAGCCCTTTGCCTACTTTTTTGCTAATTTTTGCTAATCAGGTTATTTAGCGTTTTTGCTCTTCAGTTACATATTTTGTATACTAACCCCAAATCAGATAGATGGTTTGCAAATATTTTCTCCCATTCTACAGATCGTCTTTATGCGCTGTTGATTATTTCCTTTGCTGTTCAGGAACTTTTCAGTTTGATGTAATCCCACTTGTCTCTTTTTGGTTTTGTTGCCTATAATTCGGCTGTCAATTCCAAGAAATCGTTGCCAAGAGCATTGCTAAAGAATTGCTGCCCAAAGGCTATAAACTTTCAGTTATGCAAGATGAACAGGTTTTAGAGAGCCGCTGCCCAACACAGTGCTTATAGTTAATAGTACAAAATTGTGCACTTTAAAATATATTGCATAGAGCTTACACTAAGTGGTATTATCACACACATGAAAGGAAAACACAACAGAATACAAGGAAATTTTTGGACGTTGATGAATATGCTGAGTGCCTTGACTGTGATGTATCATAGAGATACATGCATATGTCCAAACTCATTAAAATGTATACCTTAAATATGTGTATGTTTTGTATTTCAATTATACCATAATAATGCTTAAAAAACCTGAGTGTTGCCTGGCTATTGATCTTTTTCTTTCTGAGTTCAAAGTAATCATTATTTACATTAATACTACATGGTTTTTAAATGTCATAGATGAAAATAAAACTTTTCTAGCTATGATAAAAAGAAATTCTGCAATGGAGAAATATCTGATCTTAGTGTATAAGAAATTAACTCCTTCTGAGCCCTGGTATAAACTGTGACTGCCTATCTAGTTCTTGCATCCACAGCATAGTCTCCTGTATTATTAAATATTCTGCGTATCAGCGGTCTGAAACTGAAGTGTGACTGCCTTTCTTCTCAATTCAAAGAAATTGAGAGGGTAAATAAATTCAGTGTCCTGGCCAAAAAGGTCATGCATCTCTTCTCTCTCTCTCTTTTTTTAAATTTTTATTGGAGTCAAGTTTTTTTTTTATAATGTTGTGGGGTTTTTTTGCTGTGCAGCAAAGCAAATCAGACATATGTATACATATACTCCCACTTTTTGTATTTCCTTCCCATTTTGGTTACCATAGAGCATTAGGGAGAGTTCCCTATGCAAAAAAGGCAGTGCATCTAATTCAGGAACATACACCCCCTCCTGTAAGCAGGATAAACCTGGGTGCCTCAGGATGGCTTGTTGAGATCTCAGAGAATGTCCTCTGGGAACCAAGTTGCTTTCCTTGAGAACATGAAGAGGGAAATTTAGTCTCTCACATCCTGCTGGCTGCCCGACTCCACAGGCTTCTGCCTCTGAATTGGGCTTGCCTGCAGTTTGCGTCTCTGGACCATCGCGAGTGTCTCACAGACTCCACTGGACTCGGATTGGTCAGAAGGAAGCAGAGGAGGAGTCCCTCTGAGCATTTTTTTTTTTTTTTCCCCTTCACACACCATAAAAATCAGCAGCAGCTTCTGACACTCAAAGCAAAGCTTCAGGTTGCGAACCGCTACCTCTGCGAGGCAGCTGACAGAGCATGCGCACACACAGCCGGCTCCCAGCCTAGCGCAGCCACCAGGCAAATTATTCTGCAAAGACCTGCGTCCGACTAAAGTTGAAGTAGAAGTGGGAACAAAAAAGCAAGCGGCGGGCTCGACGGAGAAGGAGCATCTTGCAGCCTGAGATTTGCAAGTGATGCTGACCAGAGCCGCACCTGAAAGAGACTGAAAACTCCCTTTCCAGCTCCGGAGCATGGGACGTTTATTCAGAGCAGGCATGCCACTCTCGGCCGCCTAACTTTCGTTTGGAGCAAGTCAAGGCTGGAGAAAGTCGCTGAGGCTGCCGGACCCGGGAGGTTCAATCAGCCCAGAGGGGGCCTGAATCCAGGATGAACTCCACCCAGCCCCATGGAATGCACACCTCTCTCCACTCCTGGAACCGCAGCGCCCACGGACTGCCCGCCAATGTCAGTGAGTCCCTGGCAAAAGGCTACTCGGACGGGGGGTGCTACGAGCAGCTCTTTGTCTCTCCCGAGGTGTTCGTGACTCTGGGGGTCATCAGCCTGCTGGAGAATGTCCTGGTCATTGTGGCCATAGCTAAGAACAAGAATCTGCACTCACCCATGTACTTTTTCATCTGCAGCCTGGCTGTGGCCGACATGCTGGTGAGCGTTTCCAACGGGTCGGAGACCATTGTCATCACCCTGCTGAACACCACGGACACGGACGCGCAGAGGTTCACGGTGAATATTGACAACGTCATAGACTCGGTGATCTGTAGCTCCTTGCTTGCCTCCATCTGCAGCCTGCTGTCGATCGCGGTGGACAGGTACTTCACCATCTTCTACGCGCTCCAGTACCATAACATCATGACGGTGAGGCGGGTGGCGGTCATCATCAGCGCCATCTGGGCAGCCTGCACGGTGTCGGGCGTCCTGTTCATCATTTACTCAGACAGCAGTGCCGTGATCATCTGCCTCATCACCGTGTTCTTCACCATGCTGGCTCTCATGGCGTCTCTCTACGTCCACATGTTCCTCATGGCCAGACTCCACATTAAGAGGATCGCGGTCCTGCCAGGCACCGGCGCCGTGCGCCAGGGCGCCAACATGAAGGGGGCGATCACGCTGACCATACTGATCGGGGTCTTTGTGGTCTGCTGGGCCCCCTTCTTCCTGCACCTGATATTCTACATCTCCTGCCCCCAGAACCCATACTGTCTGTGCTTCATGTCCCACTTTAACTTGTACCTCATCCTCATCATGTGTAACTCCGTCATCGACCCTCTGATTTATGCTCTCCGGAGCCAAGAACTGAGGAAAACCTTCAAAGAGATCATCTGTTGCTCTCCTCTAGGGGGCCTCTGTGATTTGTCTAGCAGATATTAAGTGGGGACAAACGCGATGCTAAACAGCGTAAGAGACTTTTCTCCTTCTCATATGTACAATCTGAACAGTCTGTATCAGCCATAGCTTTATCTTGTGTGTAGGGCATGGATTGAGAAATTCTATTGTATCAATTGAAGTTTGTGATTTTTTTTGATGTGAAGCAGTGCCCAGTCTCGATGTATTTTTAATGTCATGCTACTTTCTGGCTGTAAAATGTGAATCCACATCACAGGTTATAGGCACTATGGATTTATAAAAAAGAAAAAAAAAGTCCTTATGAAGAGTTTAACAGTGTTTCCTTCTTGTGATATACAAGGATGTGATACTTTGCTTGTTTTAGTAACATGGAAATCACAGCTTCACTAAATATATTCTAATAAGTGGTTTTTTATGTTATACTGTACAACACTGAAGTATAAAATTTTGATTCTAGCATTTAGGGGAGAAATTGAAGAATAGATGCTTAATCATAAAAAAAAAAAAAAAAAGCTGAAATTTCAGGTAATTTAATAAGACTTGCTCATTCATTCTCCCTGTGCAGAAGCTGAAGCTTCTACTGGGAGAAAAATAGTTACTTTAAAAAAAAAAAAAGGAGGGGGGATATTTTGAATCAGAAAACCTTGTGTGTTTCTCAGAGGCAGAGAGATTAATTTGCTCAAGCAGAGAGTCTGATATTCCTCACAGGCAATTCAGTTTGGGATTAAAAAAAGAAAACAAAAACAGCACCTATGAGGATCCAAGTGTTCTGGGAAATCTAAGTGAACAAGGCAAACTAAACTTCCTGATATCAAACTGTGCAACCACCCCTAACAAAGACAGAGAACAAGGTCTTCCTGCCCCTTTAACCAGGGCCCCAGAGCCTGCTGAAATGCCCAGAACAGGGGACGCCCCACTGAGATCCGGCTTCTGCTCCCTAAAGAACTACACAATTCATGCTGAGTTCTTCCACTTTCCACATGCAAGTAACTTACTCTTTCTCTATTACTTATTTTTTGAACTGGAGTTTATGTACTCATTAGCAAGGATTTTAGCTTTGAAGACTATTTCTATAGCATAAGGATTTTAGGCAATATTTGTAAAAATCTAAAAGAAGGGAACTCATGGTGCTAGAATGTTATAAATAGGGGGGAAAAGCATGACCTGAACCCCAGAGGACGTCATGACATAAACTAGCCTTCCACAACTATATTTTAGAGAGAAATACTTGCTTTGCTCCAAAATAATGCCACAGATTTGGCTACTGGACAATAAAATCTATGCTTTCCGATTTGCATGTATTTTGAGAAATTTACCAGTGAATTACCTTTTGATTTACTGAGATACTCGTGGGCAGAGATAACATGACAAGGTACTGCTTAATTCAAATTTCTAAATGTTTTGCATGTTGACAGCAAGTCCTGAGAAGCACTTTGAGTACTGACGAGGAAACAGTACTTTAAAATACAATAGTAAGGTTAAAGCTTACAGATGAAAGGTGATACTGAAGTCTGATTCACTGCAATGCCTCTATTTTGACATTAAAAATGTGTGAGGCTTTAAATTATATTTAAAGAGAACCCCAAATTGTGGCAGGACACAGTAGGTGTTTCTGTCTTTGCTGCTATTCCTGTCCATTCTTTCATGTGATTGTGAGGAACCCCGGAAACTGGAGACACGGGAGAGAGCTAGGAGCATCCCCCACCTTCTGTGGGGGCTGTCCTTCCAGTCCACTCTGTTTCTCCAGCCAGGGTCATTTCAGATGCTTCTCGGTCCATTGAGAACCAGCCCACTTCTGCCACTGACAGGAAATCAGCCTCCCGCCTCTCGACTTTCACAGCTCCTCCCAGAGCAGTTTACAGGGATGGGGTGAGTGTTAGTCAAGAACCCGTGTGCCCAGCCCCCTCCCCTATGTGCCCAGGGCCCAATATTAGGCTTCTGTTTCTTTAAGTGCTAAGGCTATGTCTTTCTCATTTTTTCCTGTTCTCTAAACATTCCTCTATGATGTTACTTCTTTCTCCAATAAAACCAAGATTCTCCCAGAGGGATATATCATTATCACTTAAAGTCCATAGTTTACATTAGGGTTCATTCTTAAGTATTGAACATTCTATGTGCTTTGGCAGACATATAATGACATGTATTACAGTAGCATACAGAATTGCTTCACTGCCTGAAGAATCCTCTGTGTTCCACCTATTCCCCCCTCTTTCCCTCCTAACCCCTGGCTACCACTGACCTTTTTACTGTTACAATAGTTTTGCCTTTTCCAGAATGTCCTATAGTTGGAACCATACACTATATAACCTTCAGATTGGCTTCTTTCACTTGATAATATGCATTTAAGATTCCTTAAGGTATTTTTATGGCTTGGTAGCTGATTTCTTTTCGGTATTGAATAGTATTTCATTGTATGAATGTCATACAGTTTATCTGTTTGCCTACAGAAGAACATCCTGGTTGCTTCCAGATTTTGGCAATTGTGAATAAAGCTGCTACAAACACTTATGTGTGGACATAAGATTTTATTTTATACCAAGGAGCAGGAATGAACCTTTAAAGAGCTTCAGTATAAACACTGTGATGTATGTGTTTATCCTTTAGTATTTTGCTAAGGGGGGTTAGTTAGCATTTAGAGTATGCTGGTCAGGAGTATATATTCCAAATGTAACTGGTGAGCAGCATCAGATACCTTTATTGAAATTTTCACCAGAAAATTCAGTGAAGTATAAAGCCTATTAGAAATAATTTTTCATTGGTGATAGAAGTGATTTTCAAGACTTATTGACTTAAAAAGTCAAATAACAATAGCCATAACTTGCATGAACAAGGTTTATATCTTGCACTTTCGTTCACCTGGCAGGTACCTACCATGACTCTGGGCTGAGAATAGTCATCACCTACTTCAGAAAAAAAGTCTTTGTTGCCCAAACTAAATATTTTGAAATTACTAAAACATTTTTGAAGAATTATTTAATAACATGTAAATAAGTACCGACTTCTGCTTTGTCTTACAAGGAATACACAAAAAAGAATATTTAATATCATACCAACTATCTTTTAAAGTACCACCAATATAGTCATATACCTCCTGCATATTACTTCCAGTAACTCATGAACAATCAGTAGTCATTATTCTTGGGTGATAATATGAAGGAGCTTGTTTACTTTCTTTACTGAAGGTGTTTCTATTATGCAAATTTGCTACAATGAACATTTTTTAATTATTAGCTTTTTAGAAGTACACATAAGCATTTCAACACAAAGGTGTTGATGACAGTGTAACTGCCAAATTACCAACGATTTGTGGAGCAAGAGTAGATATAAGAGAAGTTAGTTTTGAGCCAGAACAGATATTAGATATCATCTCATCTAACCCTCTAAGACTCAGAGAGACTGTCTGACCTCACATGTGAAATCATTGGCAACATCAAAACTTAAGAGCCAGTTCCTGACTCTGGATTTTCCTGCATCAAATTTTACGAGCCTCCTTCTGTAGGCAAGGACAGTTTTCTCAATCATATAACCTATGGCTGAATTATGGTTACATCAGTTTTTAGCTGTGAGATTTTGTTGGGTTAGCTTTTCCATTGTTAAATGTGCATAATAATACCTGTCTTTTCAAAGGAGAAAAGACAATTATAAGATTAAAGATTAAAGCTCAACACAACAGTGCACAATAAATATAGGCACTCAAAAATAGTGATTATTAGTACTTTTAGGAATGCCAAGTATACAAACAAACTCATGAAAGAATGAATACTTATCAGTTTTGCTCTCTCTCAGCATTATTAGAAAATACACATATGCCTTGAGCTTAATTACATTTTCTTAAACTATCTTTGAGGAACTTCCCTGGTGGTCCAGTGGTTAAGATTCCCTGCACCTAATGTAGGGAGTCCAGGTTCGATCCCTAGTCAGGGAACTAGATCCCACGTGCTGAAACCAAGATCCAAGACAGCCAAACAAATTTTTTAAAAGCTACCTTTGATAGTTTTCTTAAATTGGACAGAATATGGGGGGGGGTGGGTATAAATGGGTATATTTAAACATAGAGAATATACAGGCATACCTACATTTAAAAAAGCTAAATTTTTATCCTTAATAGTACTAATAGTTTTAAAATTTGCAGGGCCACATTCAATACCAGAAAAGGCTAAATAGAAAGATAATATTCTAAACATGAAATAACCAATCAGCCCATTTCTTCAAAGATTAACTGATTAAACTTTATGTCATCAATTTGTGTTAGTAGAATAATATTATCTAAACTGATATTGTTGATATTAAATGTAAACCCTCTAAAGAGAATCATAAGTGATTATGTTATAGTCACATCTTTTTTTTAATATAGTCACATCTTGACGCTCAGTTATTGGCTTATCATGTACTGATCCAAGCCTATGCTTGCGAGTAAAAGGCGCACGCAGCATTTGGACTAGGGGAACACTGGGCTCACATTTGATTTACCAGCTCCAGAACTATGGGCAAGTTTCCTGAGCACCTATAATCTAAACACTGAAATGAAGATAACATTCATCGTCTTATCACATGTGTGGGTGCTAGGACGCTTCAGTCGTTTCCAACTCCTTGCGACCCTATGAACTGTATTCTGCCAGGCTCCTCCGTCCATGGGATTCTCCAGGAGAGAATACTGGAGTGGGTTGCCATGCCCTCCTCCAGGGGATCCGGAGACCCAGGGATCAAGCCTGCATCTCTGTCATCTCTTAGATCTCCTGTATCGGCAGGGGGGTTCTTTACTACTAGCGCCCCCTGGGAAGCCCCATCTTATAGTTAATGACAAATAAATAATCTATTGAAATGATCTGGGGGGGCGGTCCTAAGACGGTGGAGGAATAGGACAGGGAGACCACCTTCTCCCCCACAAATTCATCAAAAGAACATTTGAACACTGAGCAAGTTCCACAAAACAACTTCTGAATGCTGGCAGAAGACATCAGCTACCTGGAAAGGCAGCCCATTGTCTTCCAAAGAAGGTAGGACAAAATATAAATGATAAAAAG